CTCCAAAAGAGAAAATACATGTGGGCTAGTGGACGTAAGAATGTTTAGTATAATCAGTAGTTAAAGAAATAGATATTAAAACCAAAATAAGATCTGTTTTTTCCTATTATCAAGAAAAAGAAAAAGGTAATGCTTAATACGAGCAAAGATACAGTGAAATAGGTCTTGTGTATATTTTTAGTACAAGTATAAATTGGTGCAGTATTTCTGAAAATTAATTTAACAATAATTCCACTTTCAGGAAATAGAAATGTAGATAAAGATCTAGGCACAAGGATGTGCATAACAGCTTTAATTATAATAGACAAAAAAGGAAGTAAGTGTCCAACATTAATTGAATGGTTAAGCAAATTGCACAGCATTCTTTCCATCAGATTTTGTGGAGGCATTAAAAACCATGTTTACAAAGAGATTTTTTTTGTCAGGGTAAGCAAAAATGAAGTATGCCAAATTGTATGTACAATATGACCACAGCCATGTTTAAAGGAAAATACTAAAGGAAAAATGTCAAAATGTTAATAGTTGTTGTTTCTCTGGATAATGAGAATATGGTGATTATTTTTCCTTTTGCCTCTTATACTTTGTGTACTTTCCAAATATTCTAAAATGAGGATGTATCCATTAATATTTATTGAATTCCTATATCGCACCAGTCATTATTCTGGGACCTAGACACGCAAAGCTCATGAGGCACAGTCCTTGCTTCAAGTTACTTATAATCTGGTATCTTATTTTTATATTGTAACTTCAAAAAATTATAGAACAAGAAAGCTGTTGTTTATTTAACTAGAGTCGGTGAGTAGCATCCCATCAGTTTCTCATTTGATCTCTTCCCTCACACCACCTTTCCAAGCCCAGAGGCTTGGAATCCTGGCTGCTTCATCTTCAAAAATATATCTAAAACCCTATGCAAGGTAAATCAATAAAGCTTTCAGAAAAAATAAATAAAAAAATGTCTTTAAGGCCTTAGAGAAGGCAAAGAGTTCTTAAACAGGACACTATAAATGAAAAGAAAAAAGAAAAAAAAAATGGTAAATTTGTTTGCTCACTATAAATGAAACAAAATGGTTAATTGTACTAAATTAAAATTAAAACTATTCATCAAAACACATGATTAAGAGTAAAAAGGCAGGTCACTAAGGAGAAAGAAATTTTTACAATTCATATATGACTCATATCCAGAATATATATAGAGCTCCTACATAGCAATAAGAAAAAGGCAGACAACCCAAGAGAAAAATGAGCAGATTTGAACAGGCAATCACAAAAGGATAAAATAAACATTGAAAGGTTTCTAAATATTAGTCATCATGGAATGCAAATGAAAACCACAATGTGATATCACTACATTCCAAATTAAAAGGCAGATATTAGCCGATGTGGACAAAGATAAGGAGCAACTGAACTTTCATACACCTCAGGTGGGAATACAAATTGGTATAATCACTTTAGAAAACCACTGGACATCTACTAAAGCTGAATATAGGGAATCTCACGATCCAGGAATTCCAGTAATGGGTATATACCCAAGAGACACACATGCAGATATTCTTCTCTTTACATTTGTAGTTGCCAAAAACTACACACGATCCAAATGTCCATCAGCAGTAGAATGGATAAATACAGTTTAGTACACATGCATAAGGACTACTTTCCTGCGATGAGAATTAACTACAACTACATATAATAGCATTTATAAATACCACATGCATAATACCGAGTGAAAGAAGCCAGACACAAAGAGTACATACTGCATCAAAACAACTAAACTAATCTGTGGTATTAGATTCAGGATTACTGACAGTCCTCAGCAGGGAGTGCCTGAAAAGAGGGGAGAAGGTAGCTTCTGGGGTTCTAGTAATGATCTGTTTCTTAATCTGGCTGGTAATTATACTGGTGGGTTCCCTTTATGAAAATTCATGAAGGCATACTCTTTTATAAGTATGTTAAACTTCAATTAAAAATCACATCATATACAGTTATCTACATATGTGACATACATATATATACATACATGCACACACATATGTAAAATAGAATATAAATGTATTTACACACACACACATACACCATCCAAAATGTAACCACTCCTGACCTCTTCTACTGTTCTCTCCAGTCCAAGACTTCGGCAAAGTTCTTTGCCCTAAATCCTCTCTTGCATCCCTACAGTCTTCACCTATAGTCAGAATGATAATTTTTAAAACAGAAGCCAGGTCATATCTGCCCTTGGCTTATAACCAGTAGTAACTTCACATGTCAATCAGAATAAAATCCTCAGAGGAGATATATATTCCTGACAGCCTACATAAAATAGCCTCAGTACCCACACTTGTCACTTTTATCCCTTGACCCTGCTTTATTTTCTTTATAGCTCTCATCACCAACAGACATGTCATTTACTAGATTACTTATTTATAATTGGTCTCTCCACCACTAATATGTAAGCTACTTGAGAGCAGGGGCTTTATCTTTCTGCATTATGTCCCTAACATCTAGAACAGTGTACCTGGCATAAAGTAAGGAATGAATGAGTGAATGAATGAAGATAATCACCAAAAAACATAGAAAATAGAATGTCTATGTTTAGTCTACTTTTATAGGTTAGGAAACTAAAAGAATGAATTACATTAAGAAACAAAAAATGAAATTACTTGATGTTTTCGCAAGTATAAACCAGGTCTTCTTTTTTTCTCTCTCCCTCCCACACCCCGTTTCTTCTTCTGTCTTTCACCTACCCCATACCCACATATACACACATACGTGCACACGTGGGCATAGGTACAAGGAGAATGGAATAAGGACAATTCTCCTAATTTGTGGAAGTAAGAATGTAAACTACCTTGGTCAATACAATTTATAGCCACTCTACTTACGTCATCATCACAAAATATATTCTATATTATATATACATATATGCGTATAATTGCAGAGATTGTATAATCCTAGTGGCTCAGAATAAAATTAGAATGTCATCCATGTGAAGATTCATTATATTGGAATTAGGCATTTTGTATGAGCCTTGTTTTGTGTACATATGGCATATGATAGTACATAATATACATCATAGTAAAGAACCTATCATTTTTCTTGCCTAGAATATATGTACTTAGGACATAGGGTTGCTCTCTTTGGCACTTTGCATAAGAAAAATTTTCAACCAAAGTAAGACCATTTTGTTTGGTCCATCAACAATCAGGCACTGAAGATGCATTTTTTGAAAGTGAATATGTCCAGAAATTGAGATTGTTTCAGTCAGAAGTCTCACCTCCCTGTTCTCAGAATGAATTGTAGAGCCCCTAGTGGGCAACGGTGTTTAATTTTTTTTTTATATATATATAGATATCAATTACTTTTTCAAAGGGCTGACCAGTGGGATTTGTCACTTGGCAGATTAAAAACGAGCTAAATGTGCAAATGTGCATGTGGGAGGAGGGGAAGTTCCAGTTTGGTTGTCAATCTAGTTGACCCTTCACTTCTGGTTAAAAAATTTTTTAAAAAAGGAGTTTTTGTACCTTTCAGTTACTTAATAGCTGACGACACAGTTTTGTTGGTTTGTTTTTTATTTGAAAAAAAAATGGGAAACTTAGTGATAAGACCCCAATATGTGCTCAACTGCTACTATTAGTCTTCTTCACTTCCTCCCTCTCAGAAAGCAGTTAAGCATAACATCAAGCCATAACTTTAAGAATGGATTAGATAATAAAATGAAGCCCAAGATACATTGAGTGTAACGAGGCCAATGTCAGAAGATCATTTGTTCATCAAGTAGTTAATGTCTTTTAATAAGCAGAAAATGATGGTTAAAAGGAATGACGGCTTTTACTTTTAAGTGAGTGCAAAATAACTGTTAATGTCTGAGGAGAAAGCAATGCCGAAGTTCATTTTGAAGCTGACTTACAGATCAGGAGGGCAAAGTGTGAAGTAATGAGGACATGTGCATAACTCCAGTTAGGAATTGTGGCTTCATCTTAACCCTATGTCTTGAAAGTTGTATAACCTAGGGCAAGTTAACCACTCTGAATCTCAACTTCCTAGGGACGTAAAATGGGATGGTGAAAACACCTATCTTTCAGGGCTTTTGTGAAGATTACATGAGGTCTTAGATCCAAAAATGCTTTGTAGCCAAGAATATGTGGTGATAATGTATAGGATTATTACTGTGCTTAAATAATTCATTGACTACCCTTCTTGCCTTCTCTCTACCTCTTAAAGTCAATTCTCTAAGGTTTAGCTAAAGTTAACTAAAGTAGCTTGACCAATGTCACATATCTAGTAAGTGGCAGTCAAGATTGGAACCCAAACCTGACTAATTCTTTTTCCTTTGTTAATTATTAACCTCTTACATTTTAACTGACTTTGCATGTCTGTGTTTGTCTTTCTATCCCTTTATACTTTGTCCTTGATATGCCTGTAATGAGTAGGGTAGAGGCCTATAACAAAGATGACTAAGGTGTGGTCCCTGTACTTAAGGAACTATTATAATCCATTGGCAGGAAGATAGATGACAGGCCAAAGATCTCTAAATAATATGGAAGAATTTAAGAGATCCGTAAGGGATGGAGCATCAGTCTCCTCATCTGTCACATGGGAATAATACTCTACCTTACAGCTGTTGTTAGGATAGATTGAAATTCTTGTGTCAAGTGTTTGTCAAAGACTGTGACTCATAGTAAGTGCTCAGTATATGGAATCTATAATGTTGCCAGTCCCAGGATAATAACTAAGATACAATGCTAGAAAAGCAACTTGGCACCAGATTTTGAGAGCACTGAATGGCAGTCTAAATAAAGAGTTCGGTAAAAATAATTGTGCCAAGGTCAGTAATCATTCTGAAAGGAAATGAGAGTTGATGCTATGTCACATTACCTTTCAAAACTGATCGTAATTGAGATGGAGTTGGTGAAAACAGTTGGAACTAGTTTAAAGGAGATATTTATTTGATATACTAAAAAGAAAGATGATATTTTCAAGTTTGATGCCCTATACTTTTTCTTTCGTAGTAATTAGTGAATGCCAACGGCAGGAACTGGAGTCTGTGAGCTACTCTTCTCGCTACGCTCTGGGCCTCTTTTATGAGGCTGGCATGAAGATTGATGTCCCTTGGGCCGGGCAGTACATCAGCAGTAATCCCTGCATACGCTTCATCTCCATTGATAACAAGAAACGCAATATAGGTCAGTACCCCCATTATTTCCCTTAAATACAGTAACAATGGTGGGTGTAGATCATGAAAAATGCTGTTTAATTGAGTGTTGCCATTCTGCAAAGAGCAAGCATTTAACTCCAAGCCACAGGGGATAAAATTTAATGTCACATTTGGCCAATAATAAAATACACAGTGAAACCAGCAAAGTTTTTCAGAAAATCATTCGCCACATGGTTTGTATTACTGAGTTTATGAAAATAGTGTCAAAAGGTTTAAGATTTCAGAATGTCCCAATTTCTATTGCTTTAACATGGATCTATCTATATACAAATGTATCTCTCATCATTTGTTTCATAGTGAAGTTTGTTTTTTGTTTGTTTGGTTTTGTTTTTAAAATTTGATAAGCGCTGCTCTTGTTTCTAGTTTGCAGACTAGGAAAAAAAGGGGGAGTGAATTTTATGATGTTATGAAAATCCCTCACTTTAATATAATTGTATTTAATTTTTGTCTGGGAGACTACATTAAATTATTTTGTATACAATGTAACTAAATCGATAGGTAAAATGTTTCATAAGAGCTTTATTAGAATAGGATAAAATCAGCACTCTACTCTTTTTGTTGAAGTTAGTTATAAAAATTAGACTTGAACTGGAAGAATAAACATAACTGGTTCATTTCAGACATAAAGGTGGAAAGTGTATTCTTATTCGTAGGATTGTGGTGATCCCTGAGATACTGCTTTTCATGGAATAAATTATAATCTAAAATGACTAAATTCTTTAAAAGAATTGTCATTTCAATTTGTTACAGTGTTTTATGGTGCAGTGATGGCTTCATCGAGCCATTAGTTTGAAGTCTTGCTTGATAAAATCACCAACTAATGTCTCGTGGCTTGCCAGAACTTTATAATGATAAAACTGGGCTGCAGTATGGTTTTATATCAGAGTGCATGATCTTAAAAAAATGTTTCTTTTATAACTTAAAACTCCCTAAGGGCTAGACTGTTTATGTTAACATGATACCACATATATGTACAATCAGCAGTTCATGAAATGCCCTGTAACAGCAATAGACTAACCATTTTTAACTCTACAGCTACTTTGTTCTAAGGAAAGGAAAATAGCCCTTGATCTTCTCATGTTATACATCATGAATTACACATTCTCTTTTGTGTATTGCTTCATAAGAAATGATATCTGTTAGATGTATGTAGTAATTTGTAATGGAAAAAACAAGTTAGACTTGTTTAAATAATGTAAGGACATTTGTTGCATTATCGACTATGGACTGAATTGTATCCCCCCAAAATCTATATGTTGAAGATCTAACCTCCAATATGATTGATTATATTTGGAGATAGGTCTTTTAGGAGGTAATTAGGGTTAAATGAGGTCATAAAGGTAGAATCTTAATCCAATAGAATTATTGGCCTTATAAAATGAGGAAGAGAGAGAGAGCTCTCTTTCCATCCTTATGCACACACCGAGGAAAGGCCATATGAGGATAGTGAGAAGGTGACAAGGTGAGCGTTCTGCGAGCCAAGAAGAGAGTCCCTACCAGAAACCAAATCAGTTGGTACCTTGATCTTGGACTACCCAGCCTCTAGAGCTGAGAGAAATAAATTTGGGGTATTTAAGCCACCCTGTCAATGGTATTTTGTTATCACAGCCCAAGCCGACTGATACATGATCTAAGAGGAAGCAGTTGGGGGACTTCAGGATTGGTTAATTTAAGAACTGGGCAATATCTTTTAGGACATTTATCTTTCTCTGCTCTCTTTCACTCTTGATGTAGCAAAATGGGAATAACAGTTGGAGTCACATCCGGGCCCAACAACATGCTTAGGAAGAAGAGGGACTATTACTGTCTCTGTCCCTTTCTAAGAATCAAGAAAATCTTTCCAGAAACTGTTCAGCTGACCTGATTTAATCTTGTATCTTCTGGGTCAGAATTTGGTTACTCAACTAGTCTGAAACCAATCACAAGAAGCAAGAGAGGTGGGACGGCCTTGATGAGCCTAGATGAATTAAGATCTCCTAGAACTGGTATTAGGATAATCTTTTCAGTCCTATGCGGGTAGATACCTGAATAAAGTAGGGTTTTGTTAGGAAGAAAAAAAGTAGTGGATGATGGGTTGGCAACAAATAATGCCTATTATCTTCAAGTAGAGTCACATCTTATGTGGGAGGTAAAGTTCTAAAGTTGGCACATAAAGAGAAGAATTGTGCATATTCAAAATCTGAAAATCCCTTAAAACTACATGACATTTTGGAGAGTGACGTAACTTTCAGTATATTCAGTATTTTTCCAACATTCAATAGATCTCATTTTCTTTGGTAAGGCCAGATGAAATAGTTGGTTTGCATTTATAGGGCAGAGTGATATTTTCTACTATGAAAGGCACATAGGAAAGAAAGAAATAGCAGTCATACCTCCTAACATTAAGTTCTCTGTACAAATGGAGTGAGTTGGTGGGTGAAAGCACTTGTATTACACAATGCAGGAACAATTTATAAAATTAGAGTTATGCAAATTTGAAAGAGCACAACATAAAAATGTTAACAAATTCTCTCATGATTGACAGCATTTGAAATAATAGAAATACAAATAAATTTTTTAATATTAACACAGAATTTTAAAGCTGGAGGGATAGGTGAATTGGAAGCCATGTTTTTGCTACGGCCCATGGTGTTGCCACTTCAGGCAGCAAAGAAATACCTGCATTTCTGTGTCAGTTTTATGGAAAATTAATCTTAGATTATGCAAGTTTTAAATTATGGGAGGCCTCCAGTAATGGTGTTCCCTAACATCAAATCTAACTGCCTTGCGTTTGAACTTTCTTCTCATTATCTGGGGCCAGAAAGCTAAGTGTGTCTGGTTGAATCCATATCATATAAATGTTCATATACTGTAACTCCACTGTTTTTTATTGATATTGATATTTAACTAGACCAGTAAGTGTTGTCTCTTTATGTCATTAACACTACCACACACTCACCCTTTATTGGGGTGTTTGATAGAATCAAGAATTAATACTGTAATACGCAGACCCAACCAACAAAGGAAAACATTTGTGTTCTCTCAAGGAAGGGCAGCAACAAGATAGACAGAGGCTGGCAGAGTTGAGTCTACAAAATACAGTCTGTTGTTAAGTCTTAAAGAGAGCTAAAAGATTAAGGATTAGTGGTCCAAACAAGGCAAAAGTCAAAGAGTAATCATTTGTTAGCTGTCAGAAACAGGCAATACATGCAGAAAGCCACAACCAGAACCAAAGTCTCCTTAGACAGAGGGGTTAACTTCCAAGATGAACTAGACCCAACTTCAACTACCAATAGTTATGGATATGACCCAATATACCTAGGTTTATATTTCCCAAAATGTGTTTAATGGAACACCAGTTTCTTGAGATACTCTATGGGAAGTGGCTCTGTCATCAAATAAGTTTGCAAAATGTTGCTGACTTTACCCCTATTTTGGAGAGCCTCAGGGCATATTATCCTGTTAAAAGACATTCCTATAGATTCCTTCTCACTTTGTTTAATCTGGAATTTCCCAAATGTACTTGACCATGGAATATTTTATTTGGGCATCACATTTAATATTCCACAGAAATGGTTTCCCAGACACACTTGAGAAACCATGACTTGATGTTACCTTTGTGCTTCAGTTCTGGGTGGGAATTATAGGTCAGATGATGGAGGTGGGGAAGTTTGGTACTAGAGATTTTTTTAGAGATGGAAGAAGCCCTGTTGCAGATAAACTCAAAACTTGGTGAGATTAAAATTGGACACAATTTTTGTTGAAATAAAGTCTTTATTATTAATGTGGATAATTTTATAAAATATTAATAAGATTGTCAAAGTGGGAACAATTTGGACTTTAAAAGACCCAGATTCAAATTCTGAAACATGTTAATGATATGATCTTGTATGACCCTTGTAATTGTATATAACATTAGTTCTTAAAACAAATTCCCCCAAAAAATTTTAATGGGGTGAACATAACAGAAGTTAATTTCTTGCTCACTTAGCCCAACCAGGTGTTTATGAGGTGATTCAGAGACTCAAAGGCCTTTTGACTCTGCCAACTTCATCAGCTGGTCTACAGAGTCACTGTGCTCATAGGCATCAAATTGGTGGATAAGAAAGAGAAGGGATGAGAGCACATGGGATAATTTAAGGGCTAGACCTAGAACGGTGCACATCAGGAGTGCTCACCTTCTTTTGGTTAGAACAGTTATGTGGCAACACCTATTTGGAAGGGAAGCTGGAAATGTACCTACCTATGCATGTGGGAAGAATAAAAAGTGTGTTTGATAAACATCTAGCCAGTTTTTGCTATAACGCTTAGCATAGGTCTTTCTGTGAAAGAAGCAAATTAGACCTATATGATTGATAATAGATTTCAACGCAAGTAAAAATCATTCAACAGGTAGTCGTCACCTAGGGCAATGACTAAGAATGAATCTAAGGCTAGGTCTAGACTCAGCAGAAAAGGATTCTGCCAACCATTAGCAATGTGGCGGGCATAGGGAGTAAAGCCACAAATGAAATACATTTATCTCCTCTGTAGGAAAGCACTCGTGTGTTTCTCCTTTGCTCTCATCCGACTACCACACTCACAACATTTCTAACACCAGACATATGGGTTTTTCACACATCAAGCAATTCTGTGACACCAGCTGGGTATCTTACAATTCAATTTAGTTTTGACATTATCTGCCTGGGGTTAGCATCAGATTCCATAGTCTAAGGGTTCAGTTTCACAAGACTGTCCCCACTTCAGATGCCAACTGCAAGTCCCAGGTTGCCATCTGTACTTCTAACTGACTAGCTATACACGAAGCTTCTCATGACTCCTCCCTGGGTTCAATAACTTACTGGAATGGCTCACAGAACTCAGGGAAACATATCTACATTGTTGTAAAATAAAGAATATGATATAGGAAACAGATAAACAGCAAGATGAAGGTGAGATCCAGAAGAGTCCCAAGTGCAGGAGCTTCTGTCCCTGTGGAGTTGGGGTGCA